AGAATACCTATCTTTCATAAAAGATGTCGAGGAACAGTACCTGATAACAACAAGTACAGCACAGACTGCAAATCTGCCCTCCGCGGGGCTGGCGGGGCAGGTCGTCTCTGATGGGAAGAGCCCACTTCTTGGCATGAAAGGATTTCAGCCTTTGTGCTCGCATAGTCCATGGCCTTTCTTCCCATAGTGCCACCTAGTGCCAAATCGGTCTGTGGCTCGCTTTTCTGCAAGGTGAACATCTGCCCCATCAGAAACAGGCTGGGACCCTCCACACTCATTTCACCAAAGCCAAACCCCAGCTGTCAGAGGAACAGTAGTTTTTTCTTTAAAGACAGCTTTATCCCATTAGCCCGATTTCCCACTCCTGTATTTTAACTACTTCAAGATACACAGTCTTCACTGCACGTGATAAGAGCTGAACTTTTTTCTTCTTGCAAACCTCTGGGATGTGTAGCAACCTGTCCCACGGCACCGGCAGCCCTGGCTGCCCCAGGGGCTATGGAAGAAGGAGGTGGCGCACGTCCCTGTGCCTCTGGTGACCATTTTACAAGAGCCGTCCGCAAACAGAACTCCTGCCAGCGCCGGGCGGTCAAAATGCCGTCATAGTACACGATGGCACTGAAGGATTAAGTACAAAAATGTATGAAAACATGAAAGACACAGGCTCAAAATGCCATCATAGTACACGATGGCACTGAAGGATTAAGTACAAAAATGTACGAAAACATGAAGGACATAATAATTCTGAAATGCCAGTTTCCTATTAGAGGAGAATTGGATCAGTGCCGTTAGAACTAAATATTAACTTTTAAGATAAATAATAACGAGGAATATAGGTAACATCATCAAAGCAAAAACCATCCTGGACAAAAGCCTTTGCCTTTATTCACTCCTCACTGCAAGTTTGATAAACCTGTGAAAATCTGCTTAAGTTAAAGCTGTACAGATATTACAAAAGTATCTCAAAATTTGGTGCATGGTTAAACACTACTCTTTACCAGAGAAACCTGGATTATTGGCATAGATAGATTATTAAAAATGCAATTTATTTTTCACAGTTGATAGTTTGTTTACTTTCTGAATTTTCTTGGGCAAACTAATAAAATCAGTGAAGTCCGTTTCACTTTGATTTGCCATTATTTTCCCTCTGCAGCACAGTTTGAACTGCAGACCCTACAGAGGGAACAAGTTATTCTTTAAAAACAACTATTTCCAGTGCATTGTTTCATTAAAAAAATTAAAAACATTTATAAAGGAATTAGATTTTCTAAAAGTTTTTCTTTAAAAAAAAAAAAAATCTAAGTAACTTGAAGTTAAATTTCAGTGTTTAATTTTCCATTAACATTTATGCATCTCTTTCTGTATGGTGAAGAACTACTACTGATCACAGTGTAAAAAAAGTCCTATAAAAAGAGACAGGAGTGAAACCACCTGAAATCTGTAAGGCCACACAGCATACACAGCATACCATCAATTTCTAAACAGAACTCCTATTCAAATCATTCTGCTTAAAACCTCATATGGTCTGCAAAAACGAACAGGGTTTTCTTGAAATCATTTAAATAACAATTTATCTAAGACTGTAATCTCTCTTGTATGGGATTTGTAAGCCATCCCACAGAATTCTCTAGCAGGGGACACTGTTCCCTATTTACATCAAAGTTTTATATTCATAATATTACATTTTTTTAATTTTCTGCAGCTGTTTTCCCTTATGTATAAGCTGGGCCTATGAAGAAAACGTGAAAAATAAGAAAACTGTGAGTAATATTTATAATAATGATATATCCAACTCAGGAAATTGCTACAACTGTCTTTATCAAAATAAACAAGATTGATATTTTTTCCTCCTTTAAAAGAGAAGCAAAATCCTCTACTACTAAATGTAATTTGACTTGGTATTTGTTTGGTATTTGGATTTGACTGTCTTATATCCCATTTTTTGGTTCCCTTTAAAAAAAAAAAAAACTTAAAAAAAACCCAACACAAAAGCATACACACACAAAAAAACCAACAGCATTGCTTTTCGTCTCACAGGAGTGAAAGAGGCATATACACATGCCATTCAGACCAAAATTACTCTAGCTACAGGGCATGGCAAAGCATGAAATAACTGCTCCAGAGCACTTCCTCATGTGGGTGTGTTAGATAACTGTCTGCTCCAACGCTAAAATAAAGCACACTGTGACCCAATCAACACCATGAGCTCTGCTCCGCACAGCTGCCTGGGCTGCGAGCATGGGAACCCAGAGCACCCCACACCGCCCCGGACACACCGCTCCGCCAAACTCGGTCCTACCCCCCTGGCCAACAGGCCTGACGCTCCCTGAGTTCCAGCTACAGCATCATATGCCGGATTTAAGTTTACTTAGGCATACTTTACCCTTTGCTGCTCTATCCAAATTGCAAACTGACTTCGTGCTATTGAAAGGGCTAAGATACTTTTTTGCTAGAATATACTTGGGGTTCAAAGAAAATTAAATCCTCCTAGTGAAAAAGTTTTTAAGATTAAAAAAAGATCTTACTGGGTAATGAAAAATGTTTCTCCTACTCCGACCCTCTTTCTCTGCTTGAATTCTTCTTGCCTGGGGTTTTCATAAAATCAAGAGGTATCTTGCAGTCATTTTAAAAGTTTTTCAAAAATGCTAAGATGAGGCTGAGCTTCTGCTAAATGGACGCGTAAGGATCCTGAGGACAGGTCCATGTGCTTTCCTACAAAAACCTGGGCTGTTGAGGAACGTACACCTGCACTGGTTCAGGAGAAAATGACAGGTGCCTGAAAACCCACCCATCCCACGAGGGGGACAGCTGCTAACGCTCCAGCTGCATCACTCCAGGCTGACCACCATCTAAAGGCATCAGCAACTCCACCTTGAAGACCCCTACATTTTTGGCATAGCTTCAGCATCCCCTCTACAACCAAATCTGAGTTTCAAAGCTTGAGATTCAAACTTTAGGAGGGGAGGAAACTCCTTGCTACAGTTAACAGGTCGTTTGAAACAATAAACACGTTTAAAGTCGATCAACAAAATATTAGTTTAGAAGCTTGAATAGAAAGGAGGAGGAAGAAAAAAAAAAAAAAAAGCAGCAATGAATGTCATTCCCCAGCTAAGAGATGAGCCACCAATTCTTGGCACACTGATATATAAAACGGTGAAAAGTTTCGCTCAGGTTCTGGAAATAAAGCTGCTAATAAAATGGAGCAAGTAGTTTCTGCAGTTGTAGTGCCAGTGAATAGATCTGCTGCTTTGGATTTCAATTAACTTAGTTTGTTCAGCGAGGAGGCACTTCTGTTGAAACTGGGGAGTCGTAAGTTAAAGGACAGCTAAAAAAAAGCCCCAAACAACAGCAAAAAAACCTGTTGGCAGCAAAAGTTCTCTCTGGCTGTAAAATAATGGATTTTTAAGAAACATTTCAAAGGATTTGAAGGTTTTGGAGAATCTCCTAGGCAGTCCCAGGTGGGTTGGGAATATTGCATTACGGACTTCTTTGTGCTAAGAGGAAGGCCTAATGCATGTTTTTAAGAAGTCCGCCTCTTGCTATTAAATAAATAATTTTCTATTAAAAAAGGTGATTGTTATTCTTGAGAGATCTCCACTCATCAGCGTCCATTTTATATAATTACTTAGGATTCTCCAGAACATTTTATGTAACTCACTTCCACTATCTCTTCTCTTTTCTTTTTTCTTTTCTTTTTTTTTTGTTACCAGCAGAGCAGCAGTTTTACTCTCCAACAGAAATGACAGGAGCTCAGATAAAAAGACCATTTCAAATGGATCAGTTTAAGCAGTCTTTAGAACCCATGATAAATCTGGGCTCCAAAAACTCGACAATGCTAAATGGGCTATGAAATGCATCACAAATCCCTCCCCAGAAAAAAAGAAGGAAAAAAAAAGGAAAAAAAAAAAAAAGATTAATTCAGAGAAAAGCTTCAATGTTTGAAATTACAAATAAGCAGCATATTTGTGGAATGAAAAATGGTAAATAAATAGTTACTATTTCTGGACAAAATGGCTCGATAGATTTCATAATTTGCCACCACTGTAAAAAATATCTATTCCCTTCCCCCCTCCCTTCCCCGGCAGTACACACGGAAACACAAGCATAACCATGCATAAAGTGGGAGGGTGGGGGGCAGCCAAGGATACAAACTCCCTCTTAGAAAGTTTGAATTCTTATTAACCCAGTGATGCCTCCATAATGTTACATTAGATCAGCAACATAAAAGTTGGAATATACGTCTCCTTTCTTCCTAGTAAAGGAAACTGGAAAAACACTAATAATGAAAAATAGACGTTAAAAATATTCTGGAGGAAAAAGTACATGTACAATAACCAAAATTAACCCCCTCCGCCCCCACACCAAAACAGACAAACAGCAAAATTGCCGAATAAAAATCCTGTCAGGAGGAGCGGAACCTGCTTTCTCTTTTTTTGCTTTTATTTACTGTATGCCAAGCATGGACTTTAAACTTACAGTGTGCATATATATAGAAAACAAAGAACGAGAGTCACCGTTAACCCTGGTCACCAGCATTACAGTTAAAAGTCATTGGCAAATACTAATAAAACCCCATTTAGCAGTAAATAAGGAGAACATGATATATGGACAGACAGATGGAACTGTATAAACAGAAAAGAAAAAAGCAGAGAGACCCACAAACATACAGAGAGGGCTGTTTTAAAAGAGTGAAAGATACTGATTTACTTGGAACTGGTGTTGGAAAACAAACGTATTTGTTTCCTTCGTGATTAAAAAAAAGTAATTAAAGTGAATCATAAGGGGGCACACCCTTAAATAAGTAGAAGGGGGAAAAACATTTGTAGAGGGTAAGGCCTTCTATAGATGTTCTGAATTTTAAGCTAGCAAATAGGTCTGGCAAACTTACATCTCTAAATTAAAAAGGGGGGGGGGGGGAGGAGGGAATAAAGAAGTGCTGGTGGTTTAAGGAGAGTAGAGGCTTTATTCTTTTATTTTTTTATAAAAGTTGACTGGCCTACCTTGTTCCCCAGTCCTCAGTTTGTCTCCTCATAGTCGCTGTCTCCCTGGAAGTACAGTGTGAGTGGTAATGACTGCCTGCCTCCCTAATGAGTCCATTTTCCTGCTCTTGATGTTGTGTATATACACACACTGCAACCTACCTTACAAACCACAGAGACGGGAAAGGGAGAGCGAGCGAGCGAGAGAGAGCGAGCGAGAGCGAGCGAGCGTGCGAGAGAGAGGGAGAGAGAGAGGGAGAGGGAGAGAAAGGCGCACACAGACAAAGCCCTCCTACCAGACAGCAGACAACCCTCCTTCCCCTATCTAGCAAAATACAACTCGGCTAATGCAGCAACAGGTTCAATACTGCCAGGCTGAGGCAGCGTAGAAAAGGTATACGGGGCTGAGCAGGATGGCTGGCAAATAAACAGTTCAGTGCCGGCTGGCTCCACCTTTCTTATTTATGTTACAGGATGTTGGAATGCATTGTTTCAGACAGTCCATATAATTATCATAAATACATTTTTTGTGCGTATTAGCATGAAGCGCCGAAACGTATCAGCCATTCTGCTCCGTAACCTTATAGCTTTAACACATGCAGGGAAGGTGTAAACATATCTCTTTTGACAGGCAGACTACACAAAGCCCACTGATGATTTTAAAGTCATGAGATCTTTCAAGAAAGACGCTCCTGAAGATAGGTTTCCCCAGACAATAGGGGAGCAGGGAAAATTGATCTTGATGAGGAAGAAGTCTTCGTAAGAGACTGCTCGGTAAACAATTGAACAGAGAGGGCTACTCTCCCCAGCATTCCCTCCCTTCAAAAATATATATTGGGAAGCTTCTACCCCTACAGCTATAATAATGTGGTGTGCTTATGTCTGAACAGGTGCAATGCATATAGTACATGGTGTTACAAGGACAGAAATAAATCTCTCAAGTAAAAAAACATTTTCCCAGTTGCAAACAGGCCAAGGTTATTTAAAATATAGGTCTAATTTGAAGAACGTTCTCCCCACTCCCTATATTTTTTTGCTGGGGGGGCGGGGGGGGTGGCTAGAGGGAAGGCGTGAAGGGGAGGCAGAGATGGGAAAAATCAATACACGTAACCAGTTACAGGATTTTTATTTTTACAATATTCTGTCATATCTGAAGAAGATATATGCTGCGTCTAAAACAATTTTCACTCAGCCCTGCCTCTCATCACATGTAAACTTACGCTGTCACAAAAATTATGTTGATTTTAATGACAACTACAGGCATGTGAAAGTAGCAAGAGCAGGAAAACAAGATTTTGCACCTGTATTTCATCTTTGGACAAAGGTTCTCCAAGAACTTTAACTGGGTCCAAGGAAAAAAAAAAAAAGGTTAAGTGATATTCCCAAGGTTATGCTGTAAATCAGTGGAAAAACAGATGAGAACCCAAATCTCCTGATGCTTAACACAGAATTTGCCTGGAGTAACTCATAGGACACTTAACTTTTAGGTGGCTATCTAAGGCAGTTGTGTAGGCTCCCTCTATTGTCAGTGGAGAGACAGGCACCTCCCAAAACCAATCCATCCCAGCTTTCCCCCCCTCTCTCCACCGAGGAGGGAGCCTACACAACTAGATTAGGCTAGGCAGCTAGCTTGTAGTTGGCTAAAATTAAGTAAAATGAATCTCACTTCTGATCTAAAGCTCTATTACAACATCCTGCTTCCCAAAATACATTTTTATTATCGCAATTATTATTAGGTAATATATGCCTAAATTGTAGTGATCAAAAAGGGATAGCCTGCTGAATAAAAGAGACAGGTAAACTCCCTAGATTCATGGATTTGTACCTTCAGGCTAGCTGGATATTTATGATTCACACAGTCTTTATAATATTAACCAGCCTGGTGACTGGTGAATTTGATTAGTTTTGTTCACTGGTAGCTGCTACACATCTTTGTATTTTGCTTATAAACATTCTGTTTTCATCCAGATGTACAGTAAATACAGAAGGATTAAGTAATTTTTTTCAAAAGGTTCATTTTCATTAGTGTTTTCATCAAAACACAGCCTTTCTTAGCTTAGGGTAAAATATAAAGAGTAAAAAGCTCTATTAGGTGATGTAGTTCAACTCCTTCTGTAATATTTAGGTACATACACACTTGGCATATGTAGAGGCAGCTCTACAAGTTACTCCAAATATATATTGCAAAAATTTAGCCCTATTATACATTTGCTTCTCTGGACCTTATGACCATATTCACCTTATTGAAGGGTATGTAAGGTCAGGAAAGCAGAAGGAGCATTTGGAGTCTTTGCTTCTAACTGTGGTTAGAATATGTGGTTACATACTCGATCTGTCCGCGTATGTACCAACTGACCACTCATGGCCTCAGTTTTTCCATCTGTAAAATGGACTCAACTGTAGTTCCATGAGCAGATGGTACCATAAATATATGAAGTGCTTTGTCTTCCTATCTCAGTGGCATCTCTCAGAGTTTTATGATGGAGAATATTATGGGAAAAAATAGAAATACTTTATCAAGGGGACCTGTATCAAAGCCAGCTGATGAAAATCACAAGATTTTATATACTTCTATTCAGTTCAAATAATACAAATAGTCTCTGAATTTAAAATTTAAAAACTAGATCTACACCAAAATGAGGATATCAGATATAAGAAGTTCTTAGTACTCTGGAACATTTGACCCCAAACTGACATTCATTCCTCAGTCCTACCTACCTTACACATACAAATCTGAAGAGAGATTCAAAATGTACCAAGTTTGGATAAAATACAGTTTTGAATCCTTCAAATTTAACAGACATTCAGGTTGAAATCTGAGTACTAAGTCAGACACTTCAGTTCGAACAATGTTCAGATTTGCCATTGATCCAGATCCAAAGACTGTTAAGTTGGGAGGCATCTAGATCCTTACTTCCTGTAACTTTCTAGAAAAGTCATATATGTATCTGAACGTGGATTACAGGTCAAATTTCCTCATATTTTGAGGAAGCCTGAATCTCCGCAAGAACGCTAGAACTGAGCACGATTCCATCCCATTATGGCAACACCTAGACCAGACCTAAAATGGAACCCAAAACAACTACTTCCAAAGTTGCATGGTGTTTGTGTACATGCAGAACTGTAGAACCAAAACCAGACACTTTCAAACCTTGAGATTGTTTGAAAACAAATATGAAATAGATTCCAACTTAAGCTAGTTTTGGCCCTCAATCAGAAATGAATCCAATTAGCTGTAATTCTCATAGAATCTAAGTATCTGTCTGACCTGACTGATAAACCCCGCAAGATGTGATCTGTATAACTGGTTCCTTGCCTGCGAGTCTTTCTAAATGGATCCAAACCATCAATGGCTTGATTCTCTGTTGTCTTATAAATCATTCAGTCTACCTAAACCATACAAAAGGAGCATAAAAAAATCCTAAGTGATGCAATTGAACGGAGAATCCTGATTTAATAACGTTTTGCCAACATAAAAATGTCTGCCTGCTTGCTTGATTCAAAATGCCCAATGAGAGCCTGCTCACCGTCACACCGTATTCCTGTGGGCCTGCAAGTCCTCCTCCCCATTACGGGAGCAGGTCGATGGCTATGTACTTAGTTCACCTGCAGGAAGAGGAAAGAGGACATGTAACTGTTGACGGCTTTCAGCCCTGTCACAGGACTGGACTTACACCTCCCATGTGACGGTGAGGGCCTGCATGGCAGTCCCATGGCTGGCCTACGCTTGGCGACACAGCGGAACAGGCAAGCAAACTCTTGTCGCGTGCCCAGGAGCGTACATCTCCCATGGCAGAGACACCGAATTTTGGTTAGGCCACACATGGGGTCACCCCACGAGAAAGAGGCTGGAACAGAGGGCTCCCAGCCGTCTTAGTAAAAGGCTGCATTATCCATCCTGAATGCAAGAACAGGCAATGCTGGTCTACCCAGTAGATGATACTCCTGGTTTTCTATAAACTTGTCTTCTCGGTTCAGAGTTAATCTCTAGCAACTGTCATTAGGGAGGCAAAGGAGCCCCAACCCCTCTAGCAAAGCCTTAAAAAGAATGAAAAAATGACTAGCACTGTAAGGCAGGTGGAAAATTCTGGTGCTTGGCGCAGCAGGGGCCCCATCTACAGTTCTCCCAGGGAGCTGCAGAGCCCTAGGAACACCCTGATCTTCAGTAGTAAGGGGGAGATCGGAAAAACCAAACTGTCCACCAGAACTGTGAAAGTCTTTGTTGCAAATGACAAGATTCTGGATGACAGACTAAGAGGAAAGCAAGGTGCTTTGGTGCCAAATAACATATTCTTTACTGCTCTGGTCTCTCCTCTCCTTTTTATGTTGCCAGGCGCACCAACATGCTGAGTTTAGACATACCTTGTTAGCAATCACAAGGAGTCACGGCATCATATAACCATGTCTAAGGCTAAGAGCTACTTTCTTTGGGAAAAAAAAAAAAAAAAATTGGCCTCTTAGCAGTTATCTAAGGGCTGATTTTCAAATTCTAAAGAAATTTAAGTGGGACTGACTCCATGAACTGGTTGAGTATCCTGCCCATCCTTGCAGTGGGTTAACACACTGGTTTTTATGTACTCCACATACCTGCCCTACGTTTCATCAATGCCTTCAGGGAGCTCCGCTTTACTACAATCCCAGGAATTGTTCTTAGAAACCAGGCTGGTTTAACACCATACTGGTGTTAAGAATCCCGGGCAAAATTTCTGTCGCAGTTCTAGTTCAGAGGGTATAGCCAGGACCTAGAAACACTCACAGCAACATGTCTGAACTTGATTGCTTCCACTTAGTCCCCTTCACCACATACACAGATCTCCTAGACGCCCCTGGTATATCACACCATCATGTTGCCAGCCCAACAGGATTGGCGATTCAGATGTCTCTACTGGCGTCCTGCAGTGCCTCTGCAACTTTGTTCAAACGTAATGAGAAAGATGCCAATTAAAGAAGCACAAGAGTCCTATAGCGTGGCAGGCTGATTCAAATTAGATACCTGTATGAAGTGATTAAAAATAGGTTTTCTAAACCTGAAGATAACAGGAGGACAGTATGTTTGATTTACATCAGCAGGGGTCAACAAAAACGTAGAAGAACCACACAAAAGCTCTTTATCCCTGCAGATTTACTGGTGAAGATGCTGAGGACAGAAGGAGAGAAATACAGCGCGCTTCTGGTGTCTTTCAATATGCAAAGAATCTCAATTTTTCTCTGATTTCAGCAGTCATTACTTACTGC